CGCTGTGTCTCTCTCTGTCAAATAAATAAATACAATCTTTAAAAAAAAAAAAAAAAAATTTTTAAAAACTGTTTAAGGTTTTATTCCTTTAACCTTTGAAGCAATTTTTCTGAAAAGAAACATCTTCAAATTAGCTTCGCCTGAGGTTATAGATGGTTAGGGGTACATACTCAAAGATTAACATCTGAATTGAGTTTTGTTGAAACTGTTTTCCAATAATCTATACTGTCCACATTATGAAAGGAAAATCATTCTTAAAGATTTCTAATAGTGAATAAAACCCAAATTGGCAATCTCTAAAATTAATGCATATATTGTATTATCAATAAAATTCAACCATAGGTTTTGAAATAAAATTTAATTTTCCTAATTTTTCTATGCTTCTATAACTCTCCTTCAAATCTACATAACTATGGCAATCTCTATAATAATAAGAACAAATAAAGAACAGGTATTAAGTATTCTTTCTCTGTATAATATGACATTTCTACTAGCCACATGGGACTACTAAACATTTGACACATGGCTAGATCAAACAGAGATATGCTACTCTAAGGGTTAAACACACAACAAATTTTAAAGACAATAAAAAATAATTGATAATTTTTACATTGATTTCATGTTGAAAGGGAAATATTTTAGATATATTTAGTTAGACAAAACAGTATTAAAATTCATTTCACCTGTTTCTTTTTGCTTTTTTAAGATGTGGCTACTAAAATTTTTAAATTATATATGTGACTCAATTCTATTTCCAATGGAAAGTAACTAATATATATAATAACTAAAGAAAGCAATATGCAATAATCTGGAAATGCTGTTCAGCAAGTCTGGGTATTTTAAAGGCAAGAGTATTTTTGAAAGCTGAAGTTGAACTCTTGACAGGTTTTTAGCAGTATGTATCCCAACTCAGTCCATCATGAGTAGACTTTATTTTAGAATGATCAGTGGATCTTAATGAAGGATAGATCAACTGTTCTCAAGTGAGACTTCAGTCCTATTGAGGGAGATACATTTTTTCTTCCAGTTGAGCCTTAGCAATCCTATGTAGGTGAAAAGAATTTTAAAGAACCTCAAATATTCCTCAGTTTCTAAGTAAATAGATTTTCATAACCAATATTACTGGCTCTCAGGATGTACTTTTCTAGTACACTGTAGTAGAGAGGTACAAAAAGGCAGCGGGTAAGAACATAACCTTAATTTTGCTGGCAATGAGTTCCACACTATTTCTACTTCATAATTTAAGAAAAATACTGTGTTCCTCTTCTCTCTCACCTTATACTAAAGAAATAATTGACTCAATCTTTCTGATGATGAAGGGAGGTAGTTTTTATTTATTTATTTATTTATTAAAAGATTTTATTTATTTGACAGAGAGAGAGACAGCGAGAGCAGGAACACAAGCAGGGGGAGTGGGAGAGGGAGAAGCAGGCTCCCCGCCGAGCAGGGAGCCCGATGTGGGACTCGATCCCAGGACCCGGCGATCATGACCTGAGCCGAAGGCAGACGCTTAACGACTGAGCCACCCAGGCGCCCGAAGGGAGGTAGTTTTAGTTCATGTTTCAAATCTAGGCTTTGTCATGTACTTGCTGTGTGATCTTGGACAAATAATTTAACCTCTCTGGACCTCAATTTTGTCATCTGTAAAAGGAGGGAAACAGTATCTCTTTGGTAGTATTGATGTGAGGATTAGAGTAATGTTTATAGATGTCAGTGAAAGACAGTTATTATCATTCACGCATGTGAAAGTCACGCTTACCATCTAGTGATAATGCAGCTGATACCCGAAAGACATCTGGACAGACTGTTGCTAAGCAGGTCACTGTTTTGGACTTTCTCTACCTTTATTTTCCAGAAAGAACTAAAGATCCCACAAGACCTACTGAAGAGTCTTCATACTGCAGAATGTGCCTCTTTGTGTTCATTTGGTAACGAATGGTCTATGTGCCCTGGCTGAGCTCTCGGGTGCTGTGTGAATTCATCTGCTGCTGTTTACTCTAAGACTCATGAGGAGTCAACGCAAAGTATGTACTGGCATGGATTTGCCACGCCTCTGATTGTCCTTCTTCTTAAGGAACAGGGGATCTTTTCATTCACATATCCCTCTTCCACGGCTGAGCAACAAAGGAGCTTCAGGGGAAAGTCCTTACTAATATCCTGGAGGAGGAAGTAGAATCAGGGTCGGGGAAGGACTGGAGAGGGAGAGGAAAAAGAAACAGAGAAAGGGGGCTTACTTGTCTCTTGAAATCAATGACTCAGGTACCTTCTGTTCCTTAGGTGGTAGAGTCATGCATGTTAAACTGTCTCCAAATAAGAGGGGAGACAACTGGGTTATTCAATTTAAGCAAAAAGGGTATAGTCAGTGGGACTAAGTAAGGCACCAGCCTTCAACAGTACAAACATTAGCCCTGAAACATCTATGCTGGAAACTCCCCCGAAAGAGGCAGGGTAGGCCATGGTTAAGAGCAAAGTAGCAGGGGTGCCTGGCTAGTGCAGTTGGTTAAGCAGCCAACTCTTGGTTTTAGCTCAGGTCTGATCTCAGGGTTGTGAGATCGAGCCCTGTGTCAGGCTCCTTGCTCGGCACAGAGTCTGCTTGAGTTCCTCTCTCCCTCTGCCCCTCCTCTCTCTAAAATAAATAAATAAATCTTAAAAAAGAAAAGAAAAGAAAGAAAGAGCAAAATAGCAGAGCCAGACTGCTGGGTTGCAGTCTGATTTTGCCACTTAGAGTGGTGTGACCTTACGCCAGTTACTTAGTCTGGGCATCATTTCCCCCTTCTATAACATAGAGATAATGACAAGTGTCTATCTCATAAACTGTCATAAAGATTAAGTGAGTTCACATACTAATGTGCTTATAGTAGTACTTGGTACTGAGAAAGTACAAAAGAAGATGACTATTATTGTTCTGACATCTTTATTAATCCCTCAATTCATATATAAGAAAAACTGGAGAGACGCCTGGGTGGCTCAGTCGGTTAAGCATCTGACTTGGGCTCAGGTTATGATCCCAGGGTCCTGGGATTGAGTCCCACATCAGGCTCCCTGCTCAGCGGGGAGTCTGCTTCTTCCTCTGCCTGCCGCTCCCCCCGCTTGTGCTCGCTCTCTCTGACAAATAAGTGAATACAGTCTTTTTTTTTTTTTTTTTTAAGATTGTATTTATTTATTTGACAGAGAGAGACACCGCGAGAGAGGGAACACAAGCAGGGGGAGTGGGAGAGGGAGAAGCATGCTTTCCGACAAGCAGAGAGCCTGATGTGGGGCTTGATCCCAGGATTCCAGATCATGACCTGAGCTAAAGGCAGATGCTTAATGACTGAGCCACCCAGGTGCCCCTAAATGAATACAATCTTTAAAAAAAAAAAAAAAAAAAAGACTAACTGGAACACAGAAGCTAGTTCGTGAACTCCTGGCTCCTGCTTACAACTTTCTAGTGCACACAATTCAAATTCTTGCTAGCTCTTTTCCTAATCTCATGTAATCCCCACAACCCTGTGAGGTAGAAATTATTTGCACTGTTACAAATTCCTATGGTGCTGCTTGAAAAAGCTCTCTTCTTGTAGCCTAAGGTGGAAATGCCCTGTAGAGATTAGCTTGGTATTTAATTTAATTTAATTAATTTATTTATTTGACAGAGAGAGACACAGTGAGAGAGGGAACACAAGCAGAGGGAATGGGAGAAGGAGAAGCAGACTCCCCGCTGAGCAGGGAGCCCGATGTGGGGCTCGATCCCAGGACCCTGGGATCATGGCCTGAGCTGAAGGCAGACGCTTAACGACTGAGCCACCCAGGCGCCCCTAGCTTGGTATTTTAATGACCCTCTGGCAGGGAGAAAGGCAACTGAACAGGATGACTCATTACAAGTTTTATATTGAAAAAGCACATTTTCTTCTTGGAGCTTAGATTTTTTAGTAACCAGCTCTATAAAAGCAAAGTAATCAGCCCATGCTCAGCAGAACTAAAAAATAACAGATGTAACAGAGATGTATTTAAATTGTGATAAAAAAATAGACTGTACACATGGAATTTGTTTGAATTACCTCTGTTTTAGAGAGTTGCCTGTCATTGTCCGTGTCTATCTGTTTAAATGTTTCAATGCTTCGTGGTCCTTTGGTCACAGCATAAAGTTCAATCTCAAAAATCAATGTTGCATCAGGTGGAATCTTGCCTTCTGCTAAAGGTATAATTTTTAACAGTTTAACTTACATGAAGTTAATGTTCAAATATTTATTCATGAGTAGCCATTACAGCATTATGATTATATTATTTCATATTTATAAAAACTGCTTACCAAACACTTTTAAGAAATTTTTTTCCATGTTTTTAAACCAAATCAGTTTTTTTGTTTTTTGTTTTTTTTTTTTAAAATTTTATTTATTTATTTGAGACAGAGAGAATGAGAGACAGAGAGCATGAGAGGGAGGAGGGTCAGAGGGAGAAGCAGACTCCCTGCCGAGCAGGGAGCCCGATGTGGGACTCGATCCCGGGACTCCAGGATCATGACCTGAGCCGAAGGCAGTCGCTTAACCGACTGAGCCACCCAGGCGCCCCTAAACCAAATCAGTTTTAAGGACCTCGTGGGTCATTATTTCCTGATTGAATTAAAATAAATACAACTCATGAAATTTTTATTAATATGCCCCATTATTATACAGAAGAGAGCTAGTGCAGAGAAGAAATGCAGGGGCAGAAAAATTTCAAAGTGTAAATCAGTAATCTTTTAAAAAATGATATTGTAGGGGCGCCTAGGTGGCTCAGTTGGTTAAGCAACTGCCTTCGGCTCGGGTCGTGATCCCGGAGTCCTGGGATCGAGTCCCACATCGGGCTCCCGGCTCAGCAGGGAGCCTGCTTCTCCCTCTGACCTTCTCCCCTCTCATGCTGTTTCTCTCTCTCTCTCTCTCTCAAATAAATAAAATCTTTAAAAAAAAAATGATATTGTATAGTTATTTGGAAGCATGAATAAAACATATGTTTCAATGTATTTCAAATCCTTTGTAGACGTTAAAAAATAAGTGCAATGACAGAATAACAGTAACAATTTTATAAAATCTCTAATCACAATAAAAAGTTTTATTAAGTTGAACAGTCCTCTTGAATAAAGTTAACCTATTCACTCATCTGTGACATCATGTCACAGATGATCTTAGCAAGCTCTGGGCTATTGCAGATGACCATTTCATAAAAATAACCTGTAGAAATGATGTGCTAAGAGGCAGGGGTTAGTTTGTGTCTATAAAAGCAAAGATACTGCCCAGAGTCTCCCAGAGTCTCGTCCATTACAGGCACTCAAATATTTGTTGAACGAATGCCCCTATGGCTTATTTTTAAAATGGCTGTTTGTTCTCTAAAGGAAATAGTAATTTCTTTAATGAAAGTCGAGAATTCTTGCTAAAGTATTTATATAACCCAAAGAGAAAAGAGCTTGAAAGTTATAGCCAAAAGGAGAACTGGATCAGTCATCTCCAAAGCCAGGACATAGAAAAATCTACTCATGCATCCTATGACTAATGAAGTTCCAAGCTATGTAACCACCTATTACCTGACTTTAGAATAAAAAAAGGTAGAGATGAACTCAATGATCATTTTTACAAAATCCATTCTTATTCTGTCCAGTTACAATCTCCTTACAACAGGGAAATAACTAATGATAATAAAGACAACCTCAAAACACAAATTCAAATTTCTTAAGAAAAAATATTACACGTACATATGAAGTTTCTGAATAATTGCACTGTAAATACAGAAAATACTGCCAATTAGGTTTTGTCTTACAAAGAAATTAGAGCATAAAAAGGAGAAAAAGGTGAATTTGCTATAGAATTACTTGTATTTAGAGAAGCAGATCAAAGACGTAGGAGTTAATGTAAAGAATCTATACATACCACTGTACTGTTAATTAAAGCACTAAAAGTCACATGCATTTCAGGACATGCAGGATGCTCTGTCATATGAAGAAAGGGTACTGCACAGAGGAAAGCCTTCTTCAAGTACTGCCTAAAATAAAGTTAGAGCTCATGTTAGGTCTCAATAACAACTTATTTAAAAAAGCTTATTTGACAAGAAGTGGTTTGTTAAGCATTATGTATGGTCTCCACTGCAATTTTTACATAACTTAATCCTACCTATTGTAATGCTCCACCGCAATTTTTACGTAATCTAATCCTACCTATTGTAATGCAGGTAAACCAGCAATTAAGTATGTTCCAAAGAACATACTTTTGTTGGGCCACAGTTTCCTTACGTGTAAAACAAAAGTGCTGGTGGTGTTACTAATGAGATTCATCATTTTTATGTTTATTGGGGACACCTCAAACTGAATACAAACTAACTTCTTCAAAGTTAAACTTGTACCTCTCTGCAGCAACGGTCTGGTTTATTAATAGCTTAGGCAGCCTGGGTAGTCATTCATAGCTAAGCATAAACTAGTTTACAAAAAGGATAACTAAGTGGTCATTTGCTATAGGGAAAGGGGGCCCGATAGAATGGATGAGCACATATTGATGAGAGATGTGGTTAAAATGAGATTAAAAAGTCTAAAAGGCAAACTTTGCCTGTATCATCTTGCCTGGAATTGGCCTCAACTTATGACAATATTTTTGGGCAAGTACTGCATTCAATTTAATTTATCTTCAATTTTTTTTCTCTCCCTCTCCCAGATTCCTCTACAACTAAAAATAGGATGTACAAATTATGGTTCCATGGAAGCTATTTGATGGGACCAAATGACTGGCCAAAAGCATTGAGAACGAAGCTGTAGTTACCTGGAACTGTCTCCTTAGGAGTTTTCAGTCTGATTGGGTCTGCCTTGTGCCACTAACCTCCCTGCAATCCAGTTTGGGGCAGGGATCCCCTGCTCTTGCTGGAAAGAACAGGTGAGGGGATTGCTACTATTAATGAATTAACAAAACAGCCTCAAAAAGAGTGTGTCATTCAACGAAATATTTGGGAGTAATGACAGTATCTCATCGTAGAAAACTAATCTTTAATGACTTCAATTATATACTAAATATTTCAAATAGATGGAGTTAGCAAGGATTCTAAATATTATGAGGAGGGAATGATTCTTTATAGTCTTCACACAGCAACAGCGAGCAAAGACCTAATTGAGAATGCAAAGTAAAAACCATCCCTCTGCCAGGCTGACCATTTCCCCCCTTTTAAAAACTTTCCCTCTTTATTCAGCTCCATTTTTAATTTTGGCAATTTAAAAAATTTTTAATTTTGGAAAAATTGATACATGCACATGGCAAAAAATTTAAACAGTACAAAATATTGGAGAGTAAGAAGAAATCTCCTTACTCTTGACCCGCAGGTTTCCTTCTCAGGAACACTTAATGTCATCAGGTGACTGTATATCCTTTCACATATAATCTGTGTAGATTCATGATGCATATGTGAAATTCTCCCCCTCACGTGTAAGATCTTTGAGGATAGGAAATGGTTTCTTCTTTGTACATTGGCTTATGCTCAAGGCCTGGAACAGGGCCTGGCATTGATGCGTAATAAATACTCCTTGCATGAATACATTCTATCCCACTTTATTTTATTTTTATTTTTTTAAAGATTTAATTTATTTATTTGAGAGAGAGAGAATGAGCATGGGTGGGGGAGGTGAGGAGGGGCAGAGGGAGAGGGAGAAGCAGACTCCCCGCTGAGCATGGAGCCCAATGCGGGTTTGATCCCAGTACCCTGGGATCATGACCTGAGCAGAAGGCAGACACTTAACCGACTGAGCCACCGAGGTGCCCCATCCCACTTTATTTTTAACAAATTAATACATATGGTTCTATAGCATTCTTTTTATTGGCTGCACCATAATCCATTGTATAGCTATACCATATTTAACTAATTCCCTATTGATGGATACTCAGGTAGTTTCCAGTTTTTTGCCACCAAATAAAAGTCCGTAATGAATGTTCTTTTATATATACCTGAATGTACATTCCTGTAACTAGAACTACTGGGTCAGAGGATATGTGCTTTTAAATCTTTTTTTTTTTTTAAAGATTTTATTTATTTGACAGAGAGCGTCATAGCGAGAGAGGGATCACAAGCAGGGGGAGTGGGAGAGGGAGAAGCAGGCTTCCTGCTGAGCAGGGAGCCCGATGTGGGGCTTGATCCCAGGACCCTGGGATCATGACTTGAGCTGAAGGCAGACGCTTAACGACTGAGCCACCCAGGCACCCCTGTGCTTTTAAATCTTGATAGAAATGGTTAGAAAGGTCGAGTGACTTACATTCCCAGCAATAATGCATGAGAATGCTGGTTTTCTATACCTGTGCTAACTTTTATGCCTTTGACAATCTGATGAGTGAAAATGGTGTCTCATTTTGTTTTGATTTCCCTTTATTTAATTATTAATGAAACTAAGTATTCCCATAGATTTAAAGGTCATTTGTATTTTTTTTTGTTAGTGGGCTGCTTGCCTATTTCTAGGGCTAGGTCATTTTTATTATTGGTTAGTGAGTCTTCACAGTAGTTGCAAAAATTTTCCCCATTTATCTGCTTTACCTAGGTTCTCAGATCTTACAATAGGATTTTAAAAATAGGTAAGATATTGAAAGCAGCAGTTCATTTCTTCCATATTTCAAGGCTGCTCCTGAATTTGGGGATTAGTGACTGAGAGCTTTTTATTTTTATTTTTTTTAAAGATTTTATTTATTTATTTGAGAGAACGGGAATGAGAGAGAGAGAGAGAGAGCACATGAGAGGGGGGAGGGTCAGAGGGAGAAGCAGACTCCCCATTGAGCAGGGAGCCTGATGCGGGACTCCATCCCGGGGACTCCAGGATCATGACCTGAGCCGAAGGAAGTCGCTTAACCAACTGAGCCACCCAGGCGCCCTGACAGCTTTTTATATTCAGATGCTCTTTTTACTACGTTCCAGTGCTGTCCTTTTACTCTAAGATCATATGTTTCAGTTTCCCGAGTTTCATGAATTTGACTTTTGTACTGCTTACCTCAGGTATATACTATAGACATTTATGTAATAATAAAATAACATTGTACTAAAACAAATAAAAATGACTAAGGTAGAGCTTATAGAATATACAGGATCTTTATGAGTACTGCCACTATATGAGGGAAAGAAATCTGGTCAGAGAGCTATCTTCCAACGATGTCTTATTTTCTTTATATGTAGAAAGTGGGGACCATGCTGGACTGGACTAGATACAGCTAGTTTACTGGGCCCTATGATTCTGTAACTATTTCCTCTGTGGTTTTTTATTTTATTTGGTTGTTTTTAGTGATTCAAAAATTTTTAATTGTGGGAAATACATGTAACATAAAATTTACCACTGTAACCATTCTAACTGTATAGTTCAATATATTCACATTGCTGTGCAACCAATCTCCAGAACTATTTCATCTTGGAGAGCTGAAACTCTATACCCATTAAACTACTTCTCCTATTCCACCCTCTCCCCAGCACTTTGGCAACCACTCTTCTTTGAATTTGACTATTCCCCATACCTCACACAAGTGAAATCATACAGTGTTTTTTTGTGATTGGGCACTTAGTCAATGTACTCAAGGTTCATCTATGTTGTAGCATGTAGAATAATTTCCTTCCTTTTTAAGGCTGAATAATATTCTATTTTATGTGTATATGTGTTGTTTATCCACTTATCTGTCAATGGACACTGGGTTATTTCCTTTTCTTGGCTATTCATGAATGGTCCTGCTATTAACATGAGTATACAAATATTTGAGACCCTGCTTTCAATTCTTTTGGATATATACCCAAAGCTATGATTTATTTTTAAATATAACTTAGAGATACAATATTAAAACACCTTACCATAGCCTTCCTTTCCATATGCAAATGAAGGGGGTATAATCACTTTCCGCTTCTCTCCAGGGCACATATCCATCATCGCAATGTCTAGGCCTTTTATGACTTGCCCAACACCAAGAACAAACCATTTGGGGTGGCCTTCATTTTGTGTCCGGCTATAATAAAAAACAACACTTAGGTAAGCTGATTTTAAGAAAAATGAAATCGAACTTTAAAATAAACCTGGACAGGACACCTGGGTGGCTCAGTCAGTTAAGCGTCTGCCTTCTGCTCAGGTCATGATTCCAGGGTCCTGGGATTAAGCCTTGCATCGGGCTCCTTGCTCAGCGGGGAGCCTGCTTCTCCCTCTGCCTGCAGCTCCCCCTGCTTGTGCTCTCTATCTCTCTCTATGACAAGTAAATAAATAAATAATCTTAAAAAAATACATCTGGACATGAGGTTATAATTTAAAATTGAAGTCTTCTCTCTTGTCCCCTATTAGTATTCATTCTGAACCCCTTAGCGGGATGTTTGGCTCAAACTTCTTTCATAATAGCCAGAAAGAAGTATGATTTGCCCAAAGCTAGTCATTAGGAGTCATGTCATTATCTTTTTTATTGCCATCTTGCAAAAACTATTCAATAGTTACCTTTTTAATGGGTCTCCAGCCTCAAACTAGCTGCATGGCTTGTCCAAATAACTCATTTAATCTTTCTGAGTTTTTTCTAAAAAATGATAGTGCAGGTTTAGCCTCAAAAAGTCATTTGAACAATTAAAATTTGTATCTTTTCTTATTAAATTTATTTATTTTCTTCCAAATCGAAAGAACTAACTTTCCCCAATCCTATCTTTATAGGGTAATAGCACCAATGAAGAAAAGCCATTCTTCCTCTGAGTAATAAACTTTCAATTAAATCAGAGCAGGCAGTGGTGAGGTGAGGGGGGAGATGAGAAAACACAGGGCCCAGAAGACACCAGTGAAAGTTACTGTTGTGGTGGTTTTTGGATACGGTTGGAAGGTGGCCCTCAGTCTGTAAATATCATGCTTCTGAAGGCCAGATAAAATCTCTTAAACTACCCTACCTAATCCTCTGTAAAGAGACTCCAACAAATGGCCAAAAAAAATGCTGAGAACATCCTTACAGACAGTACCATGACTTACCCTTCTATGGATCCCAAGGGTGGTGGCGGTGGTCGGGGTGCGTGTGTATGTAGTGTATTTCCGACAATCTCTTCGGCCAACATTTTTAATAATTTAAAAAGTAATAGTTCAATAGGGAACTACTGCGTATCAGTAGGAATGCCCCTCCCCACCCCCCCAGGAATAAAAGGTTCAACTCTTACTGTTAAATAACAAGAACAAACCAATTAACCAACCACTAGCTTCTGGTTGGTAGAGGGAGCCTAGATTTCATGCATCAACCGGACACCGGGGCAATTCACAGCATTTCCTACCTGCAGTAGAATTTCGAACCGTCTTTAGCCAAGAAGCCGTCGTAATGGGCATTTAGCAGGTCTCCCTTCTTGCTTGTCTTAGAACAGTTTTCTGGACGGTGCAAAACTTCTATTTTCACTTCCTCTGTGCTCTCCTCTTCCTTTTGTCCCTGAGCAGTAAAAATGCCCCATACATAAAAGAAAACGATTAATCTTAAGAGAAACTGCATGATTCCTGAAGTTGGCCTCAGATGACACGGCGTTCCTTCACGCGTGTCAGTTGTGCCCAGACGCTGCGAAAGCAGCTGAGTTCCGACGCGTGGCGGGCATTGTTCCACGTCACAAAGGGCCGGGGGCGGGCCGACCTATGGCCCCGCCCCCTTCCGGCTGCGCGCTCGGCCACAGAATTTTCGTCTGTCCGCCCGGGTTCTGTCCCTCTGGTACCCGGCGCTTTGGATGGCTGTCATCAGTCGTTAAGGCAGTACGGAACACTTGCACCGCTTCTCGTTAAATCCGCATATTTTACAGAAGGTTTCCTCAGGGTTCGCTGGTAATGATCGCGTTTCCTAAAATGAAACCGGCAGAAGAATTAAACGGCCTGGAGGTGGGATGTTGTAGTCAGAGAATACGGCTGTCATTTCTGGGCGTAAAAGGTTTCTCCTCAGACCCCTAGGGCACTGTGGCGGGCATCGGGGGAAGCATTCTGCTTCTGGGGTGTCCTTGAAAGCACCTTCTCGGGGTGGAGGCATGCATTAAGAGGTTCCAGGCTAAGCCACGCACAATCTGACGGCCACCTGGTCGCGAGTAAACGGAGGTGTTGCCGCTCCTCGCCCCTTTAAAGGCGTTTCCCACCAGCCAACTCCAGCGATTTGGGACCTGCTGCTGGTTTGTGTTTCTATCCCCCAACCCCTCGGGGCCGCCCTCGATTTGAGGGCCCATGGGAGTTGGGGGAAAACTTGACGGTGTTCCTTCTCTTACCAGCTCTGCGAGATTGGTAACCATCCACTGTGCGCAGATGAGAAAATGAAGTTATTTGAGTATTGGGCCTTTTGTTCCAATCTCACAGCTAATGCACAGCAGGAATTTGACCAAGTTTGACACAAAACCAGCCTTTACCCCACCCAATATTTTAGTATGAAAAACTTTCAAACATACAGAAAAATTGAATTTTATTACCCCATCACCGCGGCCTTCTAGCCATCACTTGGATTCTATCATTAACATGTAACTATATTCGACTTATTACACAACCTCTCGACCCATTCACCAATTCACCTGATTTCCCAGTGAATACCCAAAGACTTTTTACCCAAATCAGAAAAGCTTCAGCGCAGGCCTGGATTAGGTTCTAGGAAGAGAGTTCGTTCTACCTCGTCTACCTCGGCTATGCTAAGCAAAACCGCAGCACTGGGCCTGCTTTGCTTAAAGCCTGCAGCATTTCATAAATCTGAATTATTGTCATTATGTAAGATGATTATTTCCAAACAGGATTTCTTAAAATCATAAAAGCTAGAGGAAAGCCCTTATTTCTAGAATAAAATAAATTCCAAAGTTTGGTTCCATGTTTTATATTCTAAATGAAGTAGTCGCTATCTAAGGTTAATTGTCAGCGTGGTGACTGTTCTTGGGGCCCCTCGCGGTTCCTTGCCGGAGGACTCGCAGCGGCACACAGAGATATCTTCCTAGGAGGTAATTTCTTGGGCCCACTGAATGTGGGGAGGGTAGGAAGGAAACATAAATAGGTAGTTCTTTTACGTTCTTGAAACAACCACCGGAAGGACCTGAGGCTTAGCTATGGGAAAACCTGAGCGGCCTACGTCGCCCGCGGGACTTGTGCGCGGCCAGCTAGTCCTCGGGGCTGCGGGGGGCAGAGTGCGCCGCGGGGTCCGAGTCCGCCCATCCGGGCTCGGAGGCTTTAGCCCCACGGCGCGGTCGGTCCAGGCTTCTCCGGGGCGGGGGGAGAAGTGTGGGGAGCCCCGGGACCGCCGGCCGCGGGCCTGAGGGAGGATGAGACGGAGTCAGGTGGCCTGGCCGGGAGGCCAAGGGTGCGCCGCGGCCGCCAGCCCCCTCTCGCAGCCTCCAGCACCGTGGTGGGGCAGCAGGCCGCGCCCGCTCCTCCTGCCCCGCCGCCGGGGAGGGGTTTCTCGGGACGAGCCGGCCCCTTTCATCCAGGAAGTGAAAGCGACGTCGGGGTCAATGAAAACAAACGGGGAGCCCGGGGGGAAGGAAGGCGGGCTAAGAGGAGGGAGCGCCGGGGCGCGGGAGGGAACAGCCGTGTGGTGGAAGCGCGAGCCGGAGGCCGGTTGCGGGCGTGATTTTGTTGTCGCCGCCGCCGCCGAGGCTC